ATTTTTAGGGTTTGATTTTAATTGAGTTGCAAATTGTAATGAAAGTTTTATTCTTCTGTCATAAAGGGATGGTTCATTTGCTTCCACGTACAGGCTTTTTACAGGTGTTGTTCGAAAAGCTCCCAGGGCAAGACGTAGCCCTTGGTTATGGATTGGATCTAGCATCTGAAGGTACGAACTGCGCGCTGACCCGTATACCATAGAACCATAATCCAGTTTTGTTCGAATAAGTGATCTGTATAGGCGCAAAAGCATTTCACGATCCGCTCCCCAATCAGTATGAGAAAGGACTCGTATAATGTTTAACGCCTTGGAACACTTATCCTTCAGATACTTTATATGTGGTATGAAAGAGAGTTTCGAATCAAAAATGAGGCCGAGAAATTTAGTCTGTTCAACAACAGGAATTCTAGTGCCATCGAGTGTTAGATTTGGGTCATTGTGTGCTTTTCGTTTTTGACAGAAATGCATGCACACAGTTTTGGATTTAGAGAATTTGAAGCCGTTTTCGTCTGCCCAATTTTGTAGTTTGTTTAAACTCTGTTGAAGTTGTCGTTCTATCGTGTGCATGTTCTTAGATCTGTAACAGATCAAGAAGTCATCCACAAATAACGACCCTTCTGTTGATTGACCAAGACATTTGACTATATCATTGATTTTAAGACCAAACAGTGTGACTGATAGGATTCCACCCTGTGGGACTCCCATTTCCTGTTTAGACGTTTCAGAAAAAGTTGAACCAACACGGACTTTGAAGTGTCTATCTGATAGGTAATTAGATATAAAATTGGGAAGGTTTCCACGTACGCCAAGGTCGTGAAGATCTTTCATGATGCCATACTGCCATGTAGTATCATAGGCCTTCTCAAGATCGAAGAACACAGCGACAAGGTGTTCTTTCTTGGCGAAAGCCTCTCGAATGAACGTCTCTAATCTGATGAGATGGTCATTTGTCCCTCTTCTATTTCTAAAGCCACTTTGAAGAGGGGATATTATATCGTTGGCCTCAAGAAACCAAACCAGTCTAGTGTTTATCATTCGTTCTAAAGTTTTACATACACAACTAGTCAGAGAGATAGGACGATAGTTGTTTGGGTCAGTAGCATCCTTTCCCGGTTTTGGGATAGGTATAATTGTGGAGTTCTTCCACGAATCGGGAATCTTTCCGGAAGCGTAAACTTGGTTGAATATGTAAAGAAGGCATGTTAGTGAAGAGTCCGGTAAGTGCTTTAGAAATTGATATGGAATATCATCAGGACCTGAAGCAGTGTCCTGTGATTTTCTAAGCGAATCAACAAGTTCTGGTAGGGTAAATTGTTCATTATAACTTTCTTTGTTTGATGATTTGAAATTGAGCCGTTTCTTTTCTCTCTTTTTTTTCAAAGACTGGAATTTTTGGGAGTGGTTTAAAGGGGATGAGTTTTTAGCTATGTTTTTTGCAAATGCATCAGCAATTTCAGTTATAGACGAGAAAATTTTGTTTTTATTAATGAGGTGGGAGGATGTTGCCTTTTTCTTTTTCCCACTTATTTTCCGAATCATATCCCATACTTTTTTTGAGGACGTGTTTGATGATATCTTGGATACATATTCTCTCCAGCTGTTTCTTTTGTCAATTTTAATTGATCGCCGAGCCTTTGCCCGCCAAATTTTAAATTCACTGTAGTTTGAAGCAGTTGGGCAATTGAAGTAGCGTCTTAGAGCAGCTGCCCGATTACTGCGTGTTTCAAAAGATTCTTCAGATAAAAGGAACTTCGTAGGTTTTGGAGCGGATTTTGGAATTGTCTTTTGGGATATGTCTTCTATACTTCCTATACCACCTATACTTCCTATACAACCTATACATCCTATATCACTCATACCCTCCTATGTCATCTTTACTTCCTATACCACCTATACCCTCCTATGTCTTCTATACTTCCTATACAACCTATACTTCCTATACCACCTATACGCTCCTGCATTAGCTTTATCAACTATATCCTCCTACTTCACCTCTACTTCATATATCACCTATACCCTCATACACCAACTATACTTCCTATACCATCTATACTTCCTACACCACTCATACCCTCCTATGTCATCTATACTTCCTATACCACCTATACCCTCCTACATCATCTTTACTTCATATACCACCTATACCCTCCTACACCACCTGCACTTCCTATACCATCTATACTTCCTATACCACCTTTACCCTCCGATGTCATCTTTACTTCATATACCACATATACCCTTCTACATCAGCTTTATTAACTATATCCTTCTATACTTCACATCTACTTCACATACCGCCTATACCCTCCGATGTCATCTATACTTCATATACCACCTATACTTCCTATACCATCTATACCCTCGTACATCATCTATACTTCCTATACCTATATTTCCTATACCACTAATACCCTCCTACGTCATCTATACTTCATATACCACCTATACCCTCCTACGTCATCTATACTTCATATACCACCTATACTTCATATACCACATATTCCCTCCTACATCAGCTTTATTAACTATATCCTCCTACATCACCTATACTCTGTTACACCACTTATACCCCATACATCACCTTTACTTCCTATAACCACCAACCATCCTACATCACCTTCTCTTTATATACCTTCTTACGTAACCTTAACTTCCTGTACCACATATACCCTCCTACATCACCTATACGTCATATAACATCTATACCCTCCTACATCACCTATACTTCCTATACCACCTTTACCATCCTACATCATTTTTTCTTCATATACTATCTATACCCTCCTACATCACCTTGACTTCCTATACAACCTATAGCCTCCTACATCAACTATACTTCCGACATCAACTTTACTTCCTATACAACATATACCTTCCTATACCACATATACCTTCCTATACCACCTTTACTTCCTATACCACCTATACTACATCACCTTGACTTCCTATACAACCTATAGCATATCCCCTACATCACATTGACTTCATATACCACCTATACCCTCCTATACCACCTATACTTCCTTTACCACCTACACCCTTCTACATCACCTACAAACGTCAACTGTCTTTAGCATTTATACCCCCTGCATTTATTTAGTTATTTTATTTAAGTAATTGTGTTCATTTATTTATTCATTTTATTGATTTATTAATTAATTTGTTTTCTTTATTCAATTCAATTACTTTTATTTCAGTTTATTGATTTATTAAATAATTTGTTTTATTTATTCATTTTAATTATTTATTGATATTTCTTTTCATTTGTAGCGGTTTTTGCCATTCGTGGTTTAACCATAATCACGTTCTTTATTAATCTTTTCAATATTTGAAATACTTAGTTTAATACTCATCACTATTTTATTAAATCAAAAATTAATAATAATGTGTCCTCTTAATTCAGCTTAAAGAAATACCGCATACACAACTACTGTAGTAAAATTGCTAGGTCTCAATAATTTTCAATGACGTAATCAAAATCTATATATTGTCAATGTTGGCAGGGGCCTTGTACTTCTCGAACCTCGCAGGAAGCACCCCCGATACATATTGCGGGTCGAGCGTAGGACTTGCATACTTCGACCTGGACGTAAACAAAACCCACAATATACACAATAGAATTAACGAAAAGGCATACACACATAGAGATAAAACTTCAAACATTTTAAACAATGAAAATCGCCGTTTAGACGCACTGATTATAAGCCTCTCTTCAATCCAGACTACCCTGGTGTCGTTACGAAACCATCAGCCCATGCGTGCAGTGATGGAAGTATTTGTAGATTTAGTTGAATTCGATTCATATATTCATATGAACAGAATGATATAAGTATGAACATTAAATATCTAGAATATCCAAATAACTAATTACTCAATTATTTTCTACTTATAATTTCACTGGCCAATTAAGGTACGTGTATAGACATGCATCCATCAATCAGCACACGACGCAGCTCAAATATTCGAACATAGATATGTCATTGATAAACGTCCAACCGATTATTTCATGTATTTATCTATTTTATTTGTATATTTATTTTCTTTTTAATTTGCAAACTTTGTTATACATATAACTATTTTTTTATATAAAAACATTTCAGCACTCACATATTCTTAAAATAACCTGTAAATAGTCATCGATCGTTTTCTTAAATAACAAGAAAAATGCATATTCAACGCACTTTCAACGCTAAATTTAAAACGCACACCAAACGGTCAACGCAAACGCAACGGAAACGCAACACAAACGCAACGGAAACGCAACGGAAACGGAACGCAAACGCAACGGAAACGCAACGGAAATGCAACAGAAACGCAACGCACTTTTGGTAAAGAAAAACGGTCCAGGGTCTGTAAGTTCATTTAGACTCCAGTTTGGACAAAGAACCCAGTACTGGCATCACAGATTTTAGAACATAATTACAAGTTTGGTACCAAAATCATCAACGACACCTTAACCGCGTGTTATAACGGGGGAAAGAAATAAGCTTTAGACTAAAATAGTCATTTGTAATACTGTCTGCAGTCTGGCAACGTTTTTGCATGAAACAAATCGCTGCGTGGGCAAAAAATGGACCCCACCTTTCGCCAGCACTCGTTCATATTGTCCCAAATCCGCGACAGTGTGCACGGACATTACAGTATACCTGTTAATACCCAGGTAATGGGTACATTTTTGTATCATTAGTCAACCAAGAAGGAGGCGTGAAATTTCCACATCAAGCGTAATACACAATTGACACAGATAAGGTCTAATCAAGTTTTATAATAATGTCGTAGGGTCAATTATATCTTCGTTTGTATTGTCATGTATTCAGTCATGTTTATTTATGTGTGTTACTGGTTACAGGGAGTGTTCTCTGTTTACCTGTGTGTCTATTTATAGTGTCCAGGTGCGTCCGGTAGTTATGTAATGTTGCGTCTATATGTGTATGTAACCTGTCTGTCCAGTTGTGTCCAGGTATGTCAGAGTGTGAAGCGCATGCATATGAGTTTGAACGTGAATAGGGGCGTGTTTGTGAGCGTATAAAGTGGTGTGTTTAGGGGGAGCAGCGCACTAGCCAGTTATAGACGGCCGAGGACCTACCATTGACAATTTATATCAAGACTACGTGTCACCACGTTAGTCAGAGGTATGTTATATATCTGAATTGGTTCATTGGTTTAATATTATTATAACGCGGATTAATTGTTACTGTATAATTAGTATACGGGGACTAGACATTATACCGATTTACCGACTGTATATCATACTGTTGTATTATATAATGGCTCTTTGTATTGACAAGGGTATATTTCCCAGTATTTTTCTACGTGTCCTAATAAACAGATCGAATGGAGCACTGAATACTTGTTGTTTCTTTAAACCTATCACAATAATAATAATGATGATGTACAACATTTGATTTATCGCCCAATCTAGCTAGAATACAATCAATAATTCTCTTATACACGCAGGAGTTGCCTTATCAAGCGCTAACAACTATTCCCATGCCACCTGGCTAATATCACCCTATGTGTGTATGCCTGCTTGTGTGCTGGAGATGTATTGTGATCTGTTTGTAATGAGACCGTGCTTCCATTTATAGTGCCACCTCATTTGAATGCTATAGCACCGCGACATCCAACCAGACCATTTTATACTCCACCTTGGTTTTTGGAGTTGTGTGGGCAGGAAAAATACACTTTCTTTGAATATCGCATTCGTACGATGACTTCGAGGATCACACCCCGGCCGCCTGCGTGGAAGGCTGGATTATTAATTATATATAACTACTCGACCAATACGTCCATAAAGTATTGATTGTTGATAATTATCAAATCATCGATTAACTGTAATCGGCGATCAACCCTGGTCCATGCAATTAATTATGTATGTGTACTAGTACTTTACCTGTCAATATAAATTCAATTATTGACAGATTAATAGTTACCCCTGCAAAAACGGGGTTGGTTATATCTAGTCTTCTATCGACTTGAGGTGACCCACTCTATATGTAATGTTTTAGGCGACTTATATAGGGCCCCGTGCAGAATCGTGTCTTCTGCGAAGGGGACATGGAAGATACCAAAATTAAGATGCTGCCCCCATTGCAGCACTTGGGATCTTTGGTCTTTTTCTATCTTGTCTACTTTATCACTATCTAATTTTCGCTTTGGGCGGTGTCTCTCTAGACAACCGTCTTTATATGACCCTGGCTGTTGTGTCTCCCTAGACAACCGTCTTTATAAGACCCTGGTTGTTGCGAAGACGTTAAACCCTAAACTAAACAAACAAACAAACAACGTAACAACATATAACATGCTTTGTAGAATTAAAAAATTAACCGATCGGATATTAAATACGTGTATGATGTAACTTATTTAACTCTGATGTGAAGGACATTTTTCATTCCGTTACATCGATAACCATATCTCACATATGTGCTCATTTGATCACACAACGTGGCGATCCATTGTTAAATGACCGATGTGTACGCAGCACGGTACTTTTGATACGTTGTGCAATCTCACAACTGTAATATGATAATATTTCTATCAATACTAAAGTATTTGGCGATGTAAAGAAAACACAGCAAATACGTTAGACCTCCTTCCGATACATATCGTTTCCTTGACAGTGAAATGCTGCCATGATACTTCTCCATTCAGCTCTAGCTCCCTGGGCCTATGAGGATACTGCATTTTAGCACTTTGCCAACCTGCGATAAGAGACGTTTTCGAACAGCTTTTGAAGAACTGGCATTTGAGAGATGTCTGTATATTTGTTTATGTTGAGTTTGTTGTTATTTCAACTTTTAAACAATGTTGTAGCTTTTCCTTTTAAAATGAAATAGGTATTCCTCATTCGATAGTATAAACTTGAAGATTAAAGCGAGTGACGAATACATGATGAAGATCCAATTGTATCTTAGTCCAATGACTATAATAAAACTTGCTAGCTTACTATAATGATAAAAAATAGATCAGTTCTTCTGAATTTAGCTCTGCACATCTTTTATGATTATAATTCCTCGCCCGAACAAATTCATAAAATGGGCCGACAGCTTTTGACACTATCGATATTGTCCCATTGTCGTTAACGTTTCCGAACTTCCAATATGTTTTAGGGCATTACGATAATAGTAAAATGCCAACGTAGCTTTCGCAAGCAAACAAACTCTTTCCGATTGGACACCTTCGGCACCCGTCTTCATAATACCCTGACTTTTTCGAGGATGTGAAACACCAAACTAATATCTACTCATCTAGAACAGTTTATCTTATCTCGACCAAACATACTATTAAACATTCTAGTGGTAAATGAACTAAATGCTTTATCAAATAAAGTGTGTTGCCTCCTCCTGTTAGCATGAGAGACTGAGCCAAAATAGTGAAATATATGCAATATTAAACTGAATGATTAAATTTGTTAGCCCACTTAGCCCAAAAGGCCTAGTGAGCTTATGCCGTGATGCGGCGTCTGTCGTCCGTCCGCCGTCAGCAGTTTCCATTAAACGACTTCTTCTTGATATTCAAAAGTCATATGGTAGTGACAATTAGCCAGTAGCATGCTGGGATAAAGGGCTGTTAAGTTTTTTCAAATGAATGGCCTTGGCCTATTTTCAAGGTCAAAACATATCTCCCTAGTAATTTTGGTTATTTAGAAGAATTCGTTTAAGGTTAGTACACATTTGACCCCTTTGACCTTTGATATGGTTGAAGGTCTAGGGAGATAATATCTGGCCAGTTACAACCATATTAATAGTGTTTAAAAAATTCAAATAATTTCTATTAAATAAGCAACAGACCTAGGGATTGTTATATTGCATTACTGTGACCGATATTAAAGTTCACAGGGGTTCAAATGTGTAAACAAAAAACACTTTAACGACTTATTCTGAATTACCAGGCTTGGTTTTGTGATATTTGGCCAGTACCGTCCTGGACTAAGAGTTATGAATGTTCAAAATAATGACATTGCCCCATATTCAAGGTCACAATGAACAAGGAGCATAGGTTGGTGAAATGCCAACTAGCATGCTAGGATGAAGGGCTATAAAGTCTGTGAAAATGTATTACCTTTACAAACATTCAAGGTCAATTGTGTGAAAACATTTAAATGAACATTTCTGACTATCAAAGAAATCTAGGGTGATGATATTTGGCCAGAAACATAATGGGATGAAGGGTTATACAATTTGGGTCAAATGAATTACCTTGATCCATTTCCGTAGTGAGAGTATGTTACTTTGTGTAAGCAACTTCTGAACCAAAACAAACCCATCTATATGTGTTGTGTAAGCGTTCATGTGTGTAGTTGTGTCGAAGGGTAAATTGATGTCTTTTAAATCAACGTGTGTTAAAAGTGAATAAATGGATATAACAACCATCTTAGTTCAGCATTTTTTTTTCAAATCTCCCCAAAAAGATTCACAAAGATACGTAATGTGTAGAGCAATACTACTTTCGAAGAAAACCCAACAAATGCGTATCTTGTTTTAACAATTGCAAAGGTTCATTATGCTCTGTATGAATTGTATAAAAACAGGTTGACAAATTCTTAATAAAATTCCAGGTGAGATATCAAGAACCCTGGGCCTCGATTTTCTTGTTCAGATCGCCCTGTTGATTAAACGTTCTTTTAACAACCAGTATTAATGGACATGTATTCGCATGTATAATGCATGGACGTGTGTTGGAGGCGGACGGTGTTGTTTCTGATGTCTTGTGATAGCGTAGACCTGAAGACTACACTCAGTATTCCACCCAAGTAAAATACCGACTGCGGTGTGATGCTTATATATCGATCTTCTGAATCCAGTTTAATTAGATGGCCATTATATACGTATTGTTACACTGTACCTGTATAGATGCCTTGAATAATCCATTTCTCATGGTTACAGTGAGGTCGTCGCTGGACCACCGACTGACCTTAATGGACACCGCCTGGCCTTTATTATGTCGATTATAGAACAGCTAATTACATGTTTCTAAACTACCGGATCGCCATGTTCTTTCTTTATAATAGGTAACCATGGTAACATTTCATCTGCTATACAGCAAATGACTGTCAAAGGAATATTGCATTCGCGAGAAATTTGAGTCTGAATGTTATTCCATTTGCAAGGAATTATCGCCATGGAAACAAAACAGTTGGCTGGTATTATCTACCTGGCTAAAATGTGATTTTGACTTACGACACAACCTTATAACGTCATTTTCCATTTGGTTCGTCGAAACACTAAGGACGTTGCAAGTTGTAATGGGTAAGTTATATTTTTTTTGTAGAATTCGTCTTTTTCAAATGGTTGTGCCAAAAATACATGACATAATCATGTCGAGCGTTTGGTTCAATGATGATTTCATTCGTACTAGATAATTAAATGTGTTATGAGAGTAAGTTCATCACTGATGAGTCCTAGAAATAGCTGTTTGGTGTAGTGTAATTCATATTTGGAATACTGTATCTATATTCAGTGCTGCAATCACCTGTGTGTGTGCTACGACCGTCTTTCAAGATAAAAGGTTGTAGACTCTGCTGGTGGGTTCGTACTCTCCCATGCTTGCCATAATCTCGATAGTCACGGCTGGTGGGTTCGTACTCTCCCATGTTTGCTATAATCTCGATATTCACAGTAATTTCTAATGAGAAGTGGCATGGTTCATAATTCTCACACTCTGCTTATCCTCTGGTTTGAAATTGATAAGTACTCCCCTGCTTTGTGAAATTCATAAAAGAATTTAGATTTCCAACATGTGATTGAGTCGGAATTGTGATTGTGCCACATATTGGTTACACTTGTATTCATATGAGGGTAATGTACAAAAACTACTGCCATGAAGAATTAATCCAAAACGTAGGGCAATGGATTTAAACTGGTATATCTAGAGGATGGGCACCATTACATTTCGTTTTTTGTGTGTGTATCATATTAAAACAAAAATCGGGCGCTAATTATGCATGAAAACTTTTTTTGTTTAATTTTACGCAAATCACGGTTCGGTTTTATTTCAGGAAAATTCTGCCTTACATAGCCGTTTTCTAATTTTAGTTGTCTTTTTACCTTTATGTTTGTTTGATGCCCATTTAATTTTGCGTGTTTTATCTACCTTTTATTGGCCTTTAAAACCTCTCCCCTGCAAGTCGAGG